CTCAAATTTTAACTACACCACATAAGAACCAACCCAACTATAATTATAAGGCTTGCAAATGACAATATTTGATTAAAACTATGGCTCAGGTGATTGAAAAAAAAAAAAAAAAAAGGTGAGTTTGAAAACACAAATCCTTCTAGTCCCAATTTTGGAAATCACATTCTACCCCTGGACCTATCAAGAGCTGCTTACTGCTTTTGAAACCTAGGTCTTTTCCCCAGGCTGCTGTGGCCCGTGGGCTCAGTTTAGGGTACAGAATTGAGCCCCAGGGTCTCCTGAGTCCAACTGCACGAAGAGGGATGAGCACTAGATGGCAGAAAGGGCTAAAAAATGCATTTTGGTTACGGCCTGAACTTCTAAAAATTCCAAGAGCCGAGTAGTTTTAGTGCTAGTGCATTATTCCTATTGGAGCAAACCCAGCTCAGTAGCCCCTGAAGTGAAGCTGACAGCACCGAAACATGTAAGAGTTCAGTGAGTGAAATGAAAACGACACAATTTACAAACCAAAGACTTTGTACGAACACAGGTAATGTAAGAAAAACAAAGCCACCATCAGCTGCCTTGTTTGGAGAGCAATATTCACCAGCTGTGTATACAGTAGATGATATTGACATTTGGGTGCTTTTCATACCTTGGGTGTTTTTCATTCTTTGCATTTACTTAGAAGGAATTTATACCCTGGAACACAATGAGTCTCCAAGAGCTGCAGTCATTTTTTAGCATGGCCAACTGTGGTGTATTTGCTGGGGAAGCCCCTTCCACCCTCCCTGCTCTCATACGTGGAGCCCTAAGCCTCCAACTCCAATGCTGCATGAGAGCTGCTGCTGCAGCTGATAGCAGTGACACATATGCTGGACACAAGGGAAGTTCAGTGAAAAATAACCCCTTTGGGAAGGTGCTTTGTAACCAAACCCCTTTTCCCATGCACAGAGAGGGGCATATGTTCTCATCTGTAAAGTCCAGGAGAGAAGGCTTGGTCAGGCAACAGTCCAAAAGCCTGTCAGGGTATCACACATGACAACACCGATGAAGACACACTGGGGAACATTCTGCTGTCGAAAGCACAAGCCTGAGAACTTCCATTGACATTTCCTACCAGAAGATGCCCACATGAATGGCTGCCTCATCCCACCTACCATGGCTCAAAAAGCTTGCCCCAGTGTGGGGTTTCTTGAACTGTCCAGTAGTGAAGCAACAACAGTGTATTGGCTCTCTGGTGGGATTTTCACTGGAAAACTTGGGAATCATCCCAGTGGAGAGCCTAACCTTTCATCCTCAGTCTCCTCATAAACCTGGCAGAACTCTGCCTACCCAAAGCCCTAGCAGAGAATTTATTTATAAATGATACCAGAGGAAAGAAAACCTTCCTCATTATATTTCATGCTCTTCACCATGTCCTCCTTGTCAGTCCATGAGCTCTGTTCAGTTTGCAATACCTGCTATTGTTAAATTTAGGTTTATATTGACTAACTTTAACAAGGGGTGCTGCAAAGCAGGAGGAGGAAGATAGGTGTTTGTTGTTGGTTTTGCTAGAGTCTGGATGTTGAAATTGTGGGGAAATTTAGGTAAAGACCTGAACATTCAGACTGAAATCTCCCCAGGCATTTCCCAGAGGCTGAATAATTCACCAATGCCTTCAGCTTACTGGCTGAGGAGCGGCAAAATCAGCCTGGGAGAGGGAATGATGAACGCGGTGAATGAGGGAGTCTGGAGATGGACGTTTCCATGCGGCTAAAGCGAACATGCCGCTACTGGGAAAGGTGCCACACGGGAAGGGAAAACGCAGCGGCTAAGAGCAGCCCTGTTCTCATGCGGGACTGTCACGGAGGCGCCGCTCGCTGAGGAGCGGCTGCAGCCCTTCTGTCCAGGATGCAGAATAAATTCTGCCGGTAGCTTTCACTGCAAATGTCGCTCTGGGCTGTTTTTACCTTCCATCGGCCGTCGGGCCGCAATCCCCACACCAAGCACGGGCACCGCTGGTCCCGTTGGGCCCGCTGAGGCCCGCCCTCCTGGGTGGCGCCAGGCCCGGCCGCTCCCGCCCGCCGCAGCCTCGGCCGCCGAGCCCCGCCCGCGGGTTCCTGCCCTGGGACCGGCACCGCCCCCGACACCGCCCCGGCACCGCCCGAGGGGCAGGGGCGGCCCGGAGCGGAGCGGGGAGGATCGCAGAGGTGCTGCCATGTTGTGCGGGGGTGTCTCGGCGGCCCGGCCCGCCACCGACGAGACGCAGCGGATCGTGGAGCAGGTGAGGGGCCGGGGCGCGCCGTGAGGGCCCCGCGGGCGGGGGAAAGGCCCGTGCGGGGCCTGTCCGGGGTCCAGGGGGTGCTTGGCCGAGCGCGGCCGGGCGCCGAGACACCGCCCCGCGGTGTAAAAGGTGGAAGGAATGGGGAATGTACGGAGCAGTCGCCGGCTCCCGGAGCTCTGCTTCCCTGTGCCCGCCTGGCGTGGCCCTGTTGACTCCAGAGGGGCCGTGGGCAGCGCTGGGTGCGCGGGGAAACTCGACAGAGACACTCCCTTGAGCTCGGGGAACGAGCTCCAGGGCTTCTTACAAAATCTGAACCTTGTTCATACGTTTGGGGTTTTGGTTTTTCGTTGTTTGCGTGGGAAGGGGGGTTTGTTTGGTTGTTTTGAGGGGGTGAAACGAGGAATAAGCAAGAAAGCTTCTTCGCTGCTTCTGCTTTTCCCCAACACAGAATTCAGCTCCGACCACTGCCAGCTCCAAATCCTGATACTTCTTACGGTACCTTAGATATACTCGGTTATTGGAATAACTCATGTTATTGGGACACATGCTTTTACTCTAAAAATGCCAGTGTGCAACTAAGTTCTTTCAAAGCACATGTTCTTCTTCTCGTCATGGAAACACAAGTTCCTTCTGCTTTTTGGCTGTGTCGGCTAGGATGTGGTAAGCTAGAGAGCAAAGATGAAGCATGCACTCCGGCTTTTGACACTCTTTGTCATTGCCTGGGCCTGTTCTCCAGGCAGGAGCGGTTCCCAAACACATACAGAGCACCCAAAGGCGCAGCAGCCATGAAATTAACATTTAACTTGTACAATCTGAGGATTCTCTGTTTTAGGAGAAGGGAGAGGTGTGCATCTCCTAAGCACCAGCCTGAGTTTGCAGTGATAAGCACATGATTGAGAATTGCAGAGAGTCATAATTATTGCTTTCATCTGAAAAGGCCTACATATTATGTTAAAGGTAATGCAGATAGGAAATTAACATGGGCTTGAATTAACAAGGTTTGAAATCCCGACTTTCTGTTCTGTAGCAGACTGCAGTGGTTTGGTAATCCAAAAACAAAACTCTCTTGGATACAGAAGTAACAAAAAAATTCATGTTTTCATTTAAATCACCTAAATACTTTGAATAGCTTGTTTTGACTGTCAGTTTAAATTACTTCCTTTAATGAAATACAGGTGGGAAAACCCAAACTTGAAACTTGCCCATACACTCATATCCTTATCTGGACACTGCTGGAGAAGGCATCAGTTTTGTTAAATCGAGGTAGCCTTTTCAAATCGTTTTGTTTGCTTAAAGTCAGGTCTTTGTGGAGATTTACTAGAGCTTGCCAGTTTGCTTGCCATAAACATATTCCCTGTTCCTGCTTTTCCAGTCCTTGCCTTCATTTACATAAGAAGCCTTGTGATGGCCGAAAGTTGTTCAGCTTTGTGACCCAGAGTGGGTGTAGTGTCACATAGGGCAGGAAGGCTTCCTTCAGCAGTGTCTGGAATATCATAGGAACGGCCTCCTTAGAGCAAAGATTTCCAGATTTCCACCCAGGCCTGCTCAGCTTTGGCTTCTCACTGGTGACTGTGGCAGAGCTTATTCAGGGTAATTCTGAACCATCTGCTTTTTAGTTAAATGCTCTGGGAGTGCATGGCAAACAGGCGATTTAGGGCAGTGGAGAGCCTTCAGGGAATGATCATTTCCATCCCTGTGACTGACTGAGTCATGGATTGTTTGGGTGGGAAGGGACTGCACCTCCTGCCTGAGCATAGGGTCAGCATCCTCAGGCTGCTCAGAGCTTTGTCCTCTCAGGTCTTGAAAACTTCCAAGGATGGAAACTGTGCAGTTTCTCTGAACACTCCTGCTGTACTGCAGGAATGTCCTCAGGAAATGCTTCTCTTTATATCCAGTCTGAATCTCCAGTTTCAGTTTATGACCATTGTGTCTCATTCTTCTGCCATCTGGAAAGTTTCATCCCTGGAGAGAGCCTGGTTTCTTGTTGGTACTGGTGAGTTTTCTTCAAAGCCTTCTCTTCCCTGGGCTGAGCAAGCTCATTTTCTTCCTCTCCTCACAGCACAAGTGCTCCAGCCATTCTGGTGTGCCCATGGAGTGCTCCTGGTGACCTTTCACTGAGCTCACTACTTTGATGTCTGGCTTGTACTGGGGGCCCAGAACTGGACACAGAATTCCACATTTTTCTAACAAGGGCCGAGTAAAGGGTAATAATCACTCGCCTGTCTTCTGGCTATACTCTTGCTGATGCAACTCAGTATGCCATTAACTTTGGTACCACCAGGACACAGTGCTGTCTCCTGTCCTCCAGAACTCCAAATCCAGACTGAGATCAAGAACGAGGTCTTTGGGAGAGTATTGTCTGGGATCTCCCTCTCCACACTGACTCAGGATGCTCATTTGCTGTGGTGACTCACTGCCACAAGTGATAACACTCTGATAAGCTTGCAGCTGCAGGACTCTGAGCTGTCTGCACCCAGGGCCCAGTGTTCAGCTTGCTGGTGGAAATAAAAAATGTGCTGAGCTGGGATGATTTAGAGACCTCACAAACCAAAGCTGCATGGTGCCTAGGATTGCTAAAGGAGCACGGGACAGAATAGGATCAGCGGGAGACTTAGTCTGCCCTGCTGCTTAAAATTTGTACGAGTGTGATGAAAACTGAAACCACATGCTCCAGCCTTTGACTCAGGAGAAGGGGAGGATGCAGGACTGAATCATGGTGCTTTCTGGGGCTGTGCCCTTCAGTGCATCTTAGAATGCAGCTTGGATTTCCGTATGGCAAAAAACCAAACAGAAAGTGTCTAAACATTATCATCTTGCTTGTAACATACTGATTATAACTTGGAGGAAGCATAGAGGTGTGGCGTCGGAGAGAACGTAAAAAACATGGACACAGCTCACAGGGATAGGATGGTCACTGGAAAGGCACCAGAGTTCTGGGAGTTGGAGAGGTGGGAGAACATATGTTGCAGGAATTGTTTCTGTTCCTGCTTCACCACAGCACCAGAGCAATGGCAAGTTGGCAGTTGTTTTTCCCCAAGGAAGCATGTGGGATTTAGGCAGGAGTGCAGATGTATCTATTCTCCTTGAATTTAGGAAGAAGGAGAAGTACACCATATAGCTGGAGGATCTGCTCATTGCTAGTACTACTGCCCTGGGAGTGAAGGGAGGGCTATGCAATTATGCTGTGCAGGAGGTGCAGCCTGGAGCAGGCAAGGACTTGCGAGCAAGAACTCCAAGACTAACTCATCTTGCCCTGCAAAACAAAGGCTGAAATCTTCTGCTTTCCTGACCAAGAATTTTCAATATAGCCGCAATATGCGAGAGGACCCAGTGCAGGAGAGAAGAGCTGCATCTCAGGAGTTCATGGCTCCCTCTAGGGTACTGGACAGGTTATTTTGATTTCTTGAGCACTGTTTTGCAGTTTGAAAACACAGATTCCAGCAGACATGCTGAAATAACTGTCAGGTGTTGTCTAGACTCGGTGTCAGCCTGTAGTGACTGACTCCCACCTCGGTCTCAGTTTTGCCACCTCCCTAGATTGCTGGTCCTGCTTTCACACAAAACTTAACATGATTCATTTTGATACTTTAATGTCTTGGGAAAGCGGGAACTCTGTGTCTGGGAACTCAGCAGCAGTGAACTGTAAGCCTTAAGTCCTAAATACTTGAATCTTGCTTGCATCAGTCTTAAAGAACCTATTGTTTCCTTAAGGTAAAAGCTCAGCTGGAAGAAAAAGAAGGGAAAACCTTTGATGTCTTCACTGCAGTGGAGTTTAAAACTCAGTTAGTTGCTGGAACAAACTACTTCATCAAGGTAGAGGACGCTGGATTGTTTCTTTTATATTAATGTGTATATTTTTGGAATGATGGGGTTTTTTTCTTTCTTAACTAGAGGAGAATGCTTATGATTTGACTTTAAGAAAAAAAAATTGTGCATTAAAAAAACACAAATATCCACTTCCCAACCCTTCTCCCCATCTGTTAAATAGAGAGTTCCTCTTTTCTCCATTTTCATGGGAAGATTAGGTGGTATTTCTGCAGAGTCACAATTCCTAGTTTGGTTTAAAACAAACCAATGGTTTTTCTTACTGCTTGTCTACTGCTCCATCCTCAAACCAGCCCAGCCTCTGCCACCCCTCCTGCTGCAGGCTGCTCCCCCAGCAGAGATCTCACTGGGTTTCATCCTTTGCAGGTCCATGTTGGGAATGAGGAGTTCATGCACCTGCGGGTGTTCAAGAGCCTCCCCCACGAGAATGAGCAGCTGAGCCTCCACAGTTACCAGGGCAGCAAGACAAAGCACGATGAACTGGCTTTTTTCTAGCAACCTTCTCTGCTGTGTTTCCCTAGCTGGTTCTTATGTGCATTTTCTGTGGGCTGCAAAATGTTGATTCCTGTGCCAACAAAGGTGGAAGAAAATGTCTTTTTAATATCATGGTGGAAAAAAACAGTTTCTTCTATGCCATTCCCTTCCTGTGCAATCTCCAAAACTGAGTCACAGGGCTCTCCTATTACCTGCACTAATGTAAACCCTACTTTTATTGCAACTTAACTTAGGCTTTAGTGCAACTTAACCAGAATACTGTGTCTGAGTCCTGTTTGTGGATTTCCTTGATCTGGAAATTGGAAGGGGAATGACACCAGCACTCATAGTTGCAGCAAGGAACAAGAGGAAAGCCTCAGTCTTTTCTGTGCTGTTTTGCAACTGTGAATATATGTTTAGATTTAAATTGTACTTTGTATTTTGTGGGCAAAGACCTGATGAGAGACTCGAGCTGAAGCAATTTTGCAAGGAAGAGAAACTATTTACAGTAGTTTGAAACAAACATTCCCTTGGTAATCATGCTCTTTCTTTTGCAGCAGTAGCATGTAATGTCCCGTAGAGGGTGTGTGAGTTTAAAATACCAAACTAGCTTGCTTATGTTCTCGGTCCTATGGAAAAGTCCTGGAAAGGAACTTAAGCTGGACAAACATTTCTGCATTTATAACAATAAACATTTCTTTTGACTTGAGATGGCGTCTGTGACTGGTGCTTTAGTGTTCTCGTCACTGGTTTTCATTATTGATTATTTTTCAATTAAAAAAACATTTCGCTTTTTTCCCTAAAGTGTTTTTTATATTCCAGATAACCTTACATTTATTCCATGTCTTAATTAGAAATACTTTATTTTAATCATGCGACAGACATGAAAGATAACAAGAAAGACCTCTGCAGGTACATCAGCAGCAAAAGGAAAATATAGACAATAGCTTTCCAAACTTATTTTATTTACTGTAACGGGCAGAATCCCCATAGGATTTGCAGAAATGAGGCGCTGCACATCATCGTGTCTTAGAAGTAGGTCAGGGGGTCATCTCTGTTTTTGCCAGTCTGAAAATTTTCAAGGCTGGGACCTTGGTTCTCACAAGGAAGAGGCTGAAACACCTTTAAGTGGACATACTCGGCCTCAGAAACTTGGACCTAGAAACCAAAAGAGCGGGAAAGTGAGGATTATGGGCTCAAAGCAGGTTCAAATAAAAGGGTGTTCTTTACATTCTGAAAAGAACATCTCCGCTCAGGATCTTAATTTTAGCTGTACCTTCATTTTTATTTCAACAGCTCTTATCTAAGCCTGGATAGGAACGGTGATAGTTTCTGGTGGCAGAAACTGTCTACACGTGTAGAAAATTGTATTAAAACCTTCCAACTCAGGTGAAGGGAAAATGAGTAGAACTTCTTGGGTGTGGAAGCACCAGAAGACACAACAGGAGAAAGGTTTTGATGGTGTCCTATTTCAGTCACCAAGATGCCAGCACAATTGCTCACAGCTTCCTGGCACACTTGTAGGAGACAAGAGACAATGAGGAAACCTCCATGACGTGGGGGTGGGACACAGTGGAGACACCATGTCAGCTCCCAAAGGGTACAGAAAGATCTCATAGAGAAAGACCAGCACATGGTCCTGAGAAGTAATGACAACCTGAAAGCCAGGATCTCTGGTCTGCAGAGTTACTCCAAACGTATCAGTGCCTGAACAGGGAACCCTGACACATCCTGGTGCTTTTGGGAGTGCACGGGAGTGCCTGGAATAAATACTCTTCCAGAGAAATTCACCTTCTCCCCTAGAAAGTCCTCACATAAAGACTTGGTAGGAAACTGTAAAATTTCATTCTTACAGAGCCAAGCAAAACAGGTGCTAAACCCTCCCTTGGTGAGGGACATGGAAACTTGAATGCCTTAGGCTCGAAGAGGTTTTTACATGCTTTCTGGTGGCTGCAGTGTGGCACTGTGCTTGGTCTGGATTGCATCTCAGCTGTAAGACTGCTGGTAAAATGTCAGTGAGGTAAAAGATTCAGAAATATAAAATTATTAATCTTGTGGCAGAGTTTATTCCAGTTAATGCTAAAATGAGAAACTGGGAAAATTGGGAAAGAAGAGACAAATCATCCATTTCCAGCATTACAAATTGATTTCTTCCAAGTTCAGTAATATATCAATCTTCATTTCTGAGTTAAGAGTTCTTTTAAGGAAGCACTTGGGAAAGAAGAAGGTTTGGCAGCATCTGTCCTTGGGACCAACTAAGTATGGGAAGTGTGGAGCTAATGCTCACAGTGTCCTGTGCAGAATTACTCTCCCCCAAACATTACAGGCCAATTTCTCTAATAAAAGAATTCTTCCAATTCCCTTGTCAATGGAGCATACCTTGCCAGGCACATGTCCGTACACACGTGGGGTTTCGGCAGTCACAGGCCACGCCTGCTGTGCTCCAGAAGGCAGCCTGCTGCTCAGCAGTGCTTGCTGGCCTTCAGATGAAAAATACACCCAGCTATTTCTTCTGTGCTACTTCACAAAAAGCTGCTCACATCCATCGGTCAGGAGGAGGAATGGTGCTATCAGAGGGCTCCAAATTAAGCATTACCCATTTTTCCTCTGCAGCAGAGAGGGGGCTTTGAAAATACAGAAAGAACCAGCAGGCAGGCTGTACCTCTGCAGCACCTGACACAGAATCAAAACATCAACACACCTGCTTGCATGCAAAACTAGCCAGACATGCATGCACTGCATTACAAAATTGACTCTATCCCTCCATTAGTTCCTCAAGCTGACTTCCATTTCATCCCAAAAAAACACAGCTGAAGGACTCACACTATTTTGCCTTGAAAGGAAACAGGAGATTACTTGTTTCAACAGTTAGGACTTGTTGAAATAATTTGAGTTGGGAATGCAATCTATAGTCCTTGAGGGGGTTGATCCCAAGAAGCTTACCAGTTACATCTGAATAAGCACAGGGCATGTTTTACAATATTTATATTCCTCCTTACAGTAGTGCCAAACGGAAGAATTTTATAAGCATTTGGAGGTAGTCCCCACTTCTGTTACTCACATCAGATGGCTTCCTATCATGTTTGGTTCTCTTTCTAGCTGTAAGCCACTCTGCAAGTCACCTGCATCATTTAATTCCAAAACACTCCCTCCTACAATATATACAAACCTTAATATAGTACATTGTCCCAGCAACCACTTGAGTCCTATATACTATGGCTGTAAAGGTAACACAGTTCATGTTTGCCCGGCTTTCAAATTGTGATTTCACCTGTAAAAAGAAAGGGAAAAATGACTGGCAGGTTGATATTTAGGTATTTCTTTTGCATATACCGCTTCAGTTTTCATTCTTTCAAATATACTCCCTTAATGAAACTCCACAAAGTGACTGAGAGCACCCTCAAACTCCTTGTCCAAATCATCAGTAAAGATAATAAAATACACACTGAGCACTGGGTGTGCCATCTCTGACCAGTCAGATGTAACTTCACCCACCAGCTCTCCCTGGGCCCAGCCATTCAGCTGGTTTTTTACCCAGTGAGCAGTGCACCTGTCCAGGCTTCTTCATTAGAATGCTGTAGGAATTGGTGTCACAGGCTTTACTAAAGTCCAGGGAGACAATATCCACAGCCTTTCCCTCATCCACTGCAGGTCATGGAAAGAGATCAGGTTGGTCAAGCAGAACTCACCTTGCATGAACCCATCCTGGCTGGGCTTGAATCCCTGATTGCCCTGCACATGCTGTTTGATGGCACTGAGGATGAGCTGTTTCTTGACCTTCTCCAGCATTAAGGTCAGCCTAACAGTCTGTAGTTCCCTGGATCCTCTTTCCTGCCATTTCTGTAGATGTTCTTTTAGAGGGGCATCAAATTAGCCAAACTCCAGTTGTGTGAGACCTCCCTGGTTCACCAGGACCACTGGTAAATCATAGATAGTGTCTTGGAGAGCTCTTCCATGAGCTCCCTCAGTACCATCAGGTGGATTCCATCCAAACCCATAGATTTACACATGCTTAAGTGGAGAAGCAGGTCACTGTTTCCTGCTGGATTGTGGGAGCTTCATGATGTTCCTTGTCTCTGTCTTCCAGCTCAGGGAGCTGGTACCCTTAGGACAACTGGTCTGACTATTAATGATTGACGTTAAGAAGGCTTTAAGTACCCTAGCCTTTTCTTTATTTTTTGTGGCAATGTTTTCCCCAATATCCAGCAAATTATAGAGATTCTCCTTGGCCCTCTTTTTATTGCTGATTTATTCATAAGAACACTTCTTGTCACTGCTTTTGGCAGTGGCCAGAGTTGAGTTCTAATAGGGGTTTTGCCTTTCTGACTTTCTGCATAACCTCCCAACACCTTTGTAATCCTTCTGAGTTGCCTGCCCCATCTTCCAAAGCTTATAAACTCTATTTTTTATCCTGGGTTCCAGCCAAAACCCTTTGTTCAGCCAGTCCAGTCTTCTTCCCCACCAGCTTGTCTTTTGGCACATGGGGAGACCCTGCTCTTGCACATTTAGGACTTCCTTCTTGAAGAATGCCCAACCTTCCTGGATCTCTTTGCCCTTCAGGACTGCCTTCCAAGGGACTCTTTCAATCAGTCTGCCAAACAGGCCAAAGTCTTCCCTCCAGACGTCCAAGGCAGTGGTTTTGCTGTTGCCCTTCCTTACTTCTCCAAGAATTAAAAACTCTCCCATTTTATGATCACTGCATGACCACCACACAGGAAGCAGAGACAATCCTACCTAGGCTGGGTGACACAGTGCCCCTCTGCACATGACACCCACGCTGATGAGTGGATGCATTACTGAATTTGGGCAGAGGAGCAGTATCAGCGTCAGCCTGCTCAGGCTACCCTGGGCAGGACCAGCAGCACCTCAGCACTTCTCACTGTGGGTACCTGTTTCACAGGAATGCACTGAATTAATTTACTTTCCCAGCACATGCACCTACAGCTGGCTGCCACTCCCATGGTATTCCTTCCTAGCAGGAAGGCCACAGAAAGCACCTAAGGAACATCCGGATCATTTCCAGAGAGCCAGAAATTATCATCCTATTCAGCTTCCTCATGATCTCTTATACTGCTCTTCTGCTGAGCAGCTTCCACAAGGTTTCTGTCCCCAGGAACTGGCAACTATACTTTCACCTGAGGAACTGCTAACTCTAGCAAATCAGGGAAATTTTAATTCCCAACACCCTTCCAGCTGACTGGGGCAGGGGCCTCCTAGAATGCTCCTAAGTGGCAGCTTTTAGTGCATCATATTCCTCTCTCAGAATAAAACAAAACAAAGCCATTTCTCTCCAGTTTTGTTATCTTTCCTCTGGACACTGTGTCCCCCATTTGTTATTTACAGACTGAACCTTCAGTAAAATCAAGCAGGCAAACAGCTCCTTAATCCTCAGGTGAAAAACTGTAACATTCCTAAGATCTTATCTAACAGCATCCTAAACCCAAAACATTCTTCAGTTTTGGGCAACAGCTGTAAAACAAGGAGACCAAATAAATAGTATTCCTCAGCTCATTAATGATGGCTAGAGACAAGGCACGGGTGTAAGTAAATAATTATGTAATCCCACAAGCAAACAGACCTTGAGCATCCCAAACTCCGCAGACGCTCTTCACAGCTTTGCTGAAATCATAGGAATTGCTTCTCTGCTCAGCAGAGCATGAAAGCCCACAGAATTGCTTCATGGAAAGGTGACACTTGTGCTGGAAGGATAGCACGATTTCCTCAACATAAGGTTTCCATAAGAATATTTTCCTTAGAGACCTATACCAAAGCCTCTGCAAGGGTGGAAAGGACCAGGAAGTGTTTTCTCTCTCCTGCTCTCAGCACAGGGCAGAAATTTCACCTTGCAGAAAATAAAGAACAAAGAACAATCTGTTTTCGTTTTCCTGAAGCTACAGAGAACAAAAGAACACTAAAATTAGGATCAGTCATTTTCTGGAATTGAAGAGAAACTTGGTACTATCCACATTTCACATTCCGTTTGTGCCCTGTATCCTGGGAGCATTAGCACTGCCTGAAACCATCATTCAAGTGCCTATTTGCTCACAAACACCCAAGTGCTGCAATTTCACCTCCAAAACACACTGCAAGACTTCTGATGACCCATAAATAACACGGGCCAGCATTGAAAAGGAAGCTCAGTATCTGGCATGGTGCTTGAGGCATTTCATAGACTCATTAATTAAATTTCACAGCCCTCAGCTGGCCCCATCTTAAACATGAGGAAACAAGAATGGCAAATACACAAAGGTGCTACAAGTCCTTTGCTAGGGTCTCCCTTCCATAGGTAAAAAGGAATTTCTCGTCTCTGCAATTGCTGCTCCTTCAGACATTCCTGCCAGTATAGAAGAAAAAGTGATACTGCTCCCAAGTAATTCAGTCGGTGCCCCCCAAACAACTGTAGATCATCCATTTCTCTTTCTGCCCTGCAGTAAATCATCTCTGACTAACCCGTTACCCAGACTCCAGCCCTCCCTCATGTACATGTCCCCAGCTCTGGTAACCCTAGTTGTGACTGACTAATAAAGCCCTACAATGGAAGAAGGCTGAGGAGCTGGGGAGTGCCATCCATGAAACTGGGGAATAATGCAGGGTGTCACTGACCACAGCTTTTGCAAATAAGCTGACTTATCTCAACACAAAGGTTGGCCACAGGGTGTTTTTGATAAACAGCTCTGTCAGCGGAGGGGATGATGTGGCAGTGTAACTCCCTGAGTTGAGTAGAACACACCCCTGAATTAGCCAGACTAGCACAGGGGGAGTGAACACACGGCTCTGCCAAATCCCGAGTATAAAAACTAAATGGTCGGACAAAAGAATTTTGAAGAAAACTGCTGGCTAGAGCTGGCTTCAACCCACATCCCTCTTCCCAGTCAGAGGAGCCCAGTGTCCTAACACAGGGCGTGCTTTACAGATCGGGAGTGCAGAACAGGCTGGTATCCTCAGGGAACTAGGATTGCAGTCGCTACATTTTGCTAAGAGTAACTTAGACTTTTATCAAGTTACCGGTCTATTTGTATCACTGCTAAATCAGACGCCTGGTGTAACATGGAGTATCTTCTAATCAGTAAAGGGACATTAAACGTTATCCCCTCCACCTGTGGACTACAGAGAAGAGCCCTGTCAGAGTACTGGGTTGCCTGGTCTCAGTGTGCAAGATCATGGAAGAGGTGGAAGGATGCTGGTGCAAACTCTGTTCTCGGTGTCACAGCAAAGGAGAGAGCTGAGAGCTCTGCACATCAGGTATAGCGAGTCTGCAGCAGTATTGGCCAATGCATTCAGCCCTGCTACTTCCTACTTTTGTTTCCTCAAAGAGTGCCTGAATGCAATTGTCAAAGGGAGAAGAGCTCATCTTTCAGAGCCAGAAGGGTGAAGACAATTGAGTGGGTGGGAATATAAGATGAGAGTTTTCCCGTTATGTGTTGTTCAACCCCAAGAATTGGAAATACTTGGTTCTGTAAAAATGGATTTTTGCATCAAATTCGGCATTTTTAAGCTTAAACAAAACATGAACATGGGTGTAAAGACTTTGATAGAATGTGTTGCATAAACCTAATCACTCAAAATCCATTCATAAAGTTTTACAACAACTAAAGGAATGTGTAGCTAAGATCAAAGTTAATAATGGAACATGGTTGGATGATCTACTTGATAAATTGAGCCTTGCACCATGGCGGAAAAAGATTTTTAAAATAGGCATGTATATATTAAGTGTCATCATAATTATACTTGTAACAGTGCCTTGCCTACTTCAATGCATGCGAAGAGTGATTGACAAAGCCATCAAAGGAGTGTTTTTGGTGAAAGGAGAAGGGGGAGACATTGGAATTCAGAATGCAAGATATCCTCAAAACATTGGGCCTGTAAATCAAAGCTGGAAAAATATAAGTCTTGTGACTTCTGGTCATGCTCTCAACACCTGTAACAAGAACTCACACTTTCTGTCAAAGATAAGAAAAATAAACCACACTTTCTAAGCATCCAGAAGTCCCATCTCTCTGCCTCATTCGGAATAAGAAAGAATCCCCATGAAATGTAGTAATGTGGGTGCAAATAGCCCACACTCAGGATGCTTTTTATACTTTCTTTAAAAAGAGCTGCTGCGCTGCAGGGCATTAGAGGATCTGCAGAGGTGCTGCTCACACAGCTGCTCCAGGACAGGACCACTGCCAGGACCACCTGGCAACTGGGCTCATTCACTGGCCTGCCTTGTGCCAAGCTCACCTCACCCCACCAGCACATCCTGTCTCACAGCTGTGACTCTAGAAAACACTTAAAGCCAGTAGGGAATACACAATTTAAATTCTTTACTGCCTACTAGCGTAAGCCATCTCTCATTTCAAACAAGTGACTTCACTGCTGGCATAGCAGAGCTGGGCTTGGAACTTCACACGGACATTAACTGAAGGTAGCCAGTACCATTCCTGACCATGAACAAAGAGGAGACAGAGGAGTGGTTTGTCTCAGTCTTACCAAGGCACTTCTACATAGATTGCTAAGAAAACACTGTCAGTCAAGGGGATTCCCACTTTCAGCATGAGGTTCTTCAGTTTAAAACCTGGCTTAGTCTCATAGGCTTTACACAAGCTTCAGGAATGGCCTCTTTGCACACAAGTAACTTAATCTAGAGACAAGGTGCAACTCACCTGGTTAACAAGCTGCTGAACTTCTGGAGTAGCCGGCTTGGTGTCAGATAAGCCCCCAGGCATCATGGTGGCAGGTGACTTCTCTGAAATAACGAGTGGCTCTGAAGGGGGAAGTTCAGTGCAGTCTGAGCAGAGTCCCCTGGCATCTCATATATACACACATGTGTGTGTCATGGAATCATGTGACCTGCAACACACGGAGCCTACCATTACTGAACTGGAGAAGGACACAAGCAGGGAAAAGGGAGTTTGTAAAATGTAAAGCACTGGCAATATTATCAATAAATTTAAGAAGCACTTGAAGAAGTGTTTACAGTGTTTACATCAAAAAGAAAAGCAAACATCAGCCTGCAGTCACCCACACCTTAAAGAGAGTTAGTTTGGGCTGCAGCTGGAAACTCTTGCCTCTCCACTCATGTGCAGATGACTAGGCTGAGCTCTTGGGAAACACATCAAAGACACACCCAGCATTTCCCAACACCTTTCCTGATCAGAGGAAAGAATTCAGCACTTTCCTTAGAACAGGTCCCGCTCAACTTGAAATTTTATCCTCTAAATATCCTTCAAAGTGGGGAAACAGGAGCAGATAGCATCTTACATTCAGTGACTTGACTTCTCTCTGCCTGACCAAAAAGGTGCCAAGGTAAACACCAACACCAGAAGAATCCCAGATTCAGGTAAGTACTGCAACTAAGGCATTTCTGCTTCTTTCCCATCAAACCAAGAGCTACATTCAGGCAATCATAATAGCAACTGAATGTGCAATAAAATCTATTTTTTAACTCTAGTGCCAATTTCCTGGAAGACAAAGTACAATCAAAAAACCCAAAAGCTGTCCCAATTTCAACATACACTGTTGAAACACATAACATGAGAACACAAAGTCAGAAGTATTCATTCTGCAGTTACAGTCACATGGCACAGTCACATTCACGAATGTGAATGTACAAAGCTCAAAACCTACTGGGTGGAAAGCTAACAACTACTAGCAGCCCTCCCTGGTAAGGGAGAACTAACACTTCAAGACCACAGAAAAAATTACTTCCTGTCAATATTCCTGCCATCCCCCTCACCAGCAAATAAGAGGAAAGTTGTTCCAGAGTGAGGCCAGAGAAGCAGCAACAGACCAGACACTTGTTAGTCTGTAGGGGCAAGTACATGGGAGCAGGTGAAATGAGAATATGTGCTGCACAGGCAATGGGCATTTCTGCTGGGATCAGCATTAGGGAATTTGCTAGGAATAGGTGGGTTTATAGCCACAGCAACAAACTTATCCCTGTCCTACCCGTACTACTGTTATCCTCACAGATAACAAGTGATGCAAGACACTCTAAAAAAGTACTTCAGATCTGACTTCAAGGCCTGGTTTTGGTACAAAGCCCCTGAGATTGAGAAACTGGGGCTGTAGGAGCCCCAACAGTACACAATACACTCAACAGTATTAATGAGTATTACAGCATGTTACTGGAAAAGATATTGCACAATTTTCCAGACTTGAGCAGCAGTGGACAAAAAGCATTTGAGGAAAAATCATTGTCCTGAGACATTTTTGTGAACAGAGAGAGAAGTCCTTCTCAGGAATGAAGGGAGTGGCAGCTGTTAAAACTGGAATTCTGAACTTTCACCAACTTCTCTTCAGATGAGGAGTTCCTCAGAGCTGATGACAGCTCAAACCTTTTGCATAAGACCCTGCTGATTCACTCAAATGCTGATCATGTTCCACCACTTGTGCCTTATTCACACAGCAGGACAGATAAGGAACTGGAAGAGCCAGCTCACCTTACTGAGGCCAGAAATCAGAGAACGTGCCCAACAACTGCACAGCACCAGCACTAAAACAGGGTATTTTATAAACCTGTCCACTGATCCAGGATACAGATCCTGCTGACTTCCTTGGAAAGGATGTTACAATCCCCAGGGCAGCAGTACACTCATGGAGAACTCGATTCTATCTAGCAGCAAATACACTAACCACAAAGTCTAGGAGGGTTCATTTATAATCTTTGAAAGACTCTAGGTGTGAAACTAAAGATATTAATGTTGTGTGAAAATCATTCACTGGACTCCATATTTCTGGTTTGCTGGTTTTTGACTTTAAAGCGTAACAATTTTTTTTCCCCCAGAATGCACAGTTGTGCAGAAGGGGAAAAAAATCGACTTTGAAATCAATTGTCAGCAAGTTGATGCTGAAGTTTACAGAGGCAAATCAGACTGTTTCCATTCCATGGCCGTGCTAATGGCTGTCCCAAAATCCAGTGATATTTCTAAGACTGGGATGCAGTACTCCTGTATTCTATGAAACCACTTTGAAGTGCTGATGTTTCACAGACCTGGGATCAGAGATGATCAGAGGCAATTGATCAACCTTATCTTGGGCAACTCCCACTTCCACCCACCCCTCTCTACACTAAGTTTTGGATGAAATGAACGAGGATTTGGAGCACTGCCAAGAAAAGCACAGCCTTCCCCATGCCATTTCTTGCACAACAAAGATGAGTGTGTGCCCTCTGTAGTGTTTGAGAAGTGGCTGGTATCACGTACCAGGGCAGCCTATACTCCATCAGCACAGCTGGCAGCTTCCCCTCACGTCACTGTGCTGCTGCTATCTTGGAGAATCTCTGCTGACACCACCACTGGCATTGTGTACGGCTTTGATGCTGAGTAGCATCTTGCACCATGTACTATTCCAATACAGAAGAAACAGATCTTTACTGCTTGCAAACCACTACTCCCTGGTCCTGTTAAAGCAATTTTAAGAGGTACAAGCTATTGCTGATAAAAACACCAGTACAAAACAAACAAAACAAAATATAAAAAAAACCCTCCACCAAAGTCCAAACCTCAGGGTTATGTATTTACAAGCCATTTTTAAACCAGGAATGAAGTCAGCTCTCTAGAAATTATTGTGAAAGCCAAGTCAGTAAGGTCGGTCTTCTGGTTTCAGAGTGACAAGACACGTAATTGTGACTGGACATGACACATGGTCTGAATGAAGAGCTTCTAGAAGAAAGCAGTCCTCCCTGTATCAGCTGAAGATCTATTTTCATTGTCACAGGAACAACAGCCTTGATTTTCAACATGCTGGTCAGCAAAAAAGGTTTCCCTTCCTGCTTTTGGGTTTCCTCATCCTGATTTTGAAAGATTTCTGACATTGTACATGAACAAGGATCCACAGAAACCTGACCTTCAGCAGCACAAAGTTATCATACCCCAGCCTACGCTGAGCCTCTTCCTCTCAGTCTGCTTCAAGACAACTGAAATCTACTGTTAAAAATATTCTCTGAAGAAATTACCTGTTTCATCAATGTTTCATGCCTACAGGCTGCTGAAGACAACAAAACTGAATGCTAGAAAAAGAACACCTCTTTCTATTTGACAGAAGGAAAGATGCACAGGCTTAAGAGGACTTTCCAAGCAAGGGGGATCTGCTCACCTCTATTCACCACTTGCAAGCAACAGGAAAGCCCCAGTAGAGGAGGCAAAGCACTCACAGGACTCTGGACACAGCCATCAGCTGTGCTCAAATGCCTTTACTTGCAGAAATAGAAGTTAAAACCAAGGAAAGGATGAAATCCTGCTGTTTGTAGGGTTTTTGACCACTATTTGACCCCCATATGTTTGACAGCAAACAGCCCAGTAATTTTGTAACTACCTCAATGGTAAGGCTGAAGCAAGGTTCAATCCCTGACTAAACAGGATCCTGGAATCCTCAGGGGTCCCTGGACACAGAATTCACCTGCCTGTGTTCAGTGTGGCACTCAGCTCACACCAATGCCACTTGCACACATGCCAAAACATCCCACTCCACGCACACCTCTGAGGTACTCAGGAAACAGCAGAACCGCATTCTCCTGCCCCGCACCCAAAGCGTGGCATGCAATTCCTTTTACTCACCTTCGGGTTCCATCGAGCTCAACAGCAACATGAAACAGCCTCTCAGTCACCTGATTTGCTGTGGACTACTGTAAGAGACAGCCCTCTGTGCTCAGAGCAAACTAAATACAGCAATTCAACTTCTTAGTGCAACCCTCTGTATGCAAGCTGCAAACACCCCAAGAAGGGATGTTGGGAATTTAGGAGTCTTCTCATGGTATCAGTTTTTCATACTCAGGTTTGCATAGGACTACCTGCTTGGACTTAGATACAAACTGAAAAGAATTCTATGTTGGGCTGATTTTTTGGGGTTGTGGGTTTTGGGGTTTTTTAACATAGTTTCCTCATAACAAATGCAAAAAAAAAAAAAATCTGTGTATCATATCCATTTCACAGGTCATTTATCACAACATCTGCTTAAGCGAAGAAGCTTTCCACAACAGCTGAGAAAACATCTGGATGGATAAAGGAAGACAATGATTAATTCTCATTACAGTCTTTAGTTTATACAGAAATTAAAAATTATATTTCAAGACTATTGATCCAAGTCTATACACACTGGTAGAAGTTTCTATTGTTTAACTGGCTTAAAAGGAAAATTTGTCTTTGCAGTTGATCCAAGCCCTGGGGAGAATAAATATTTTAGGCACCTATACTAGAGGTATTAAAGTACCAACTCTGAAATCTAAACTTACTGTTCTCAACATCTCATTAATTGACCATCATCTCCTGTTGAAATTTCATTACTGCCAATTCAACCCAGTATTATGAGCAGCATTTGATTTACACTTTGATGATAAACAATTACAAGAATTTAACAATTGAAGAACAAACACATTTTCTGCTTTCAGATTTGCAGAAAAACAATGAGAAATCTTCAAGAATGAGTGGTCCAACTCAAAGTTCTGCATAAAGCAGTTGCAGTACCTTGAGGAAAAAAGAGGGGGAAAAAAGAAGCTTGAACATTAGGATTTGCATCCTCAAAGACTTAAAATATATTTCTACCTCATTCTCAAAAAAAGGTGAGACGAAATGACCCTGGTGCCTAAAAAAGGCCTCCAAGCAGTTTGAGTCTCTACTGCACACACAACTATAAAACAGATGCTGCTGCACAGATCTTTGCCAGCTCTCAGTAACACAGGTACATTCCTTCATTTATTTCTCACTCCCCATATATGCAAAGCTTTAGAGATGTGAGACTATAGCCAGTAATTTCATTGCTGTTGCTGAATTCCAAAGTGTTTGCAAGACAGGGCCTGTATTTTTAGGGCTCTGTTTAAGTTCAGTGGTTCTTAAGATCATATGAGCTGGAACCACACAGACCTGGTCACTTGACTGTCAGCCTATCTGAGATAAATACAAAATAAAAAGTATAAAGTAAAATATACAGGTGTAATTGCAGCAATTCAGCTTTCCTCCTATTTATCTGCCTTTAAATGCTGTGTTACTGCAGGGGTGCTGCATTAAATCTTTCTAAACACAACACCATGGAAAGGATCAACAGCATCAGGTATGCACAGCTATTTCCTCAGCTCAAACACAATTCACCTTTAGAACGAATCTTAAAGGTTCAGAAAGAGGGACAAAAAAGGGTCCCTGGACTGTCTCATTCCCAAATGAGACACATCTTCAGCTCCAACCCAAAGTGGTTTTAATCAACAGAACTTGGTAACACAGACCAAAGGGCAGTAAGCAACAGATGCTCCCTGTCAGCACTGCAGGAGCAATGGCAAACCTGTACCCACACACAATTCTGAGCCACTGCTGCTCGTGTTGAGCAGTTCAGAACAAGGCTGGTAACTTCTTACTTTCAGAGATGCTGAACCTACTACACTTGCTGATCAGTCTGTAATTTTTATTTTCTTTCAGACTTCAGCAGATTATTTCCACATAAAGACCACATTCACTGATATTTCAGCAGGCACTAGCACAGGGAGAGCCTTGTCCTCCCTGCTCAGGATGGGTTTTACTGTTTCTTCCCCTCTGGAACCACTGAAGCTGTGGAAGTTCAAGAAAGATGCCAGTTTTGCATTCCATTTGAAAATTGTTTTAATACTATAAAACTCATTTGTTCACATATTTTGTACAAAAGATGAGTTGTTTTCTCTTAATTACAGGAGAATCATTTCAAGCTTGAGAATTCAGCTAAGTAGGTCCAAAACAAAACAAGATTGGGTTCTACTGGCTCTGGAGGGTCCCAGTTCAGCTCACCCAAGGTCTCTTTCCAGTTTGGCTCTCAGTTATGGACCACCTTGATGGAAAATACCCCACATCATCATTGACTCTTCGGAGGCTTGTAGTGAATTCGGCACCGCTCATTAAATACCTGTGACACCAAAACAGGAGAGCAAAAGTGAGTCAGCCCCATCCAGGAAATGAGCAGAACTTCATAGACAGTTCAGGCAATACCCCGTCATGTAGCACCCATCTCAAGCCACCTAGCTCTGAGGTATCAATAAACGGCACTTACCAAGGCATCCAATTCCATTCTCACCTTCTCTCCTGGCTTTAGTAAATCCGAAGTTTGAAGCCTGATGTTGGGAGACTGCATAGCATTAAGTGTTCTCCCTCAGATAATGCAGACTCTTAATCCTGGCAGGCTGTTATCATCAAAAATGCTGATGCCTTTTTGTTTTTTAAAGGGAAGGAAATAATCGTTGGAAGGCTCCTGAATGGTTGTGTTCTGTCAGTTCACTTTGGCATTCAAATTTGGGCACTGTATTCCTGTCTTTGCTGAGTAGGCACATCTTACATTGGCAGGACAGCCAAGAAGAGGGGCAAGGGCTCCTGGAAGCCACATGCACACTTCCAGTGATCTGCCCGTCCGTGCCAGTGCTGCTACTCCCTGCAAAGGGCACAGCACTCCTGCCTCACTCACCTCTGGCACCTTCTCTAGGTAAAAATTAGCCCCTAGAACTGGATACTGAGGATCATGTATATTTAGCTTGAACTGCTGCCAGCATGCCCTAAGAAGGCCAATAAACGTGACTATTTAAAGTAAGGCAGTCTGAATCCAAAGCAAAACACACAGGCTCCCACCGAGATTGCAGGTGCTCTTCACAAGCCATTTAAAGCCATTTAGTTATTTATCAGCTTTTATCCAAACTTGCCCAGCACAAGTCCTGAAAGCAACACAAGCATAACCTGACACCAAGCTGAGGCTCTGGCAGGTGTTGGTTGTCCCACCAGCATTTCCACAAGAGCATATTTTGCCAAGCTGTCCAGGGATTTGGCAGACCCGAGTGCCTATGATCATCAGGATATGAAGTTTCATGAACTCTCCCACTGGCTTTATGTGCAAAGTGAGTGATCTTGTAATTTTGGGGAAGTTATCCAACACTATATAAAAATACATTGTTTCAAGCTCTATCTTCCTAGAATCTTCTACAGCTAATCTTCTTATTCACAGTTCACAACCTATGGCAACTTCAGCAAAAGTGAAGCCTGGAGCACATATTAGTTACAGCATTGCTTCTCAACAATTTTGAACTACCTTTCAAATTTCATTTATTTTAAGAAATAGACATGTATTACATACTGCAGAAAACAAAAGCTGTGATATAGGTCCTTTCACACATAGAAATGTGTAGCCATTATGTTGCCATATGGAATAGACACCTCTGGAAGAGTTCAGATGAAGTAAAGATTTGAGATCAGTGATAGGAAGAAACTGTAGAAATTAAGAGCAACAGCAGGTCCAATTGAGAAACATTTTGCTACTAAATAAATCACACAATTTTTTCTCCATTGTCTGTTAATGACATTTTAATGGCATATATGTCTAAAAGGGTGCTAGAAATACTCTCTAAAGCTCTGCAAGGGTCTCTAGCATCAAACAACACACCAGCTTGCTTGCTATCATGCTAACTTTCAAAGTATCTACAACAGTAACTCCACAACCTGTGGCAGGAAGATCAACACTGCAGTCTTACTAACACTGCCTCCTACTTTTAGGATCATTGGCTCACAGATCTCAGTGTGTTACTTAAACCACTTAAATGCATTGGCCTACCTATTAAATGCTATTCTCATTTTTCAGACATTATTCAGGAAAAGCAATGGCTGAGAAACCTTAAAATTCATATTACTATGCAAAAGTTTGATTTTGCTGGCTTTTACATATTTGTATAAATCACTCCAACAGTAAACTCCAACGTGGAGGTGCTGGACAAACACTAATGCAAGTGTCTTGTATGAAAGTCAATTCCTGGTTTGGTATCAAATCCCGCTGCATAGATTTCTCTAAAGAAGCATCCTTCTGTATACCACTATTGCCACAGTCAGCCAGTATTTAAAAAAATTGTTCCCTAATCAGATTTTTCCGATTAGTTTTCACTTGTTTAGGATTAATGGAAATACACAAGTGTACTTCCCAGCCAGAAGTCTACAACAGTAAAACAGCAGCCTGCACACCAATAATCACTTCCATGTAACAAATTGCATTTGGCCTGCAACCATGACTGGTTCTGATTCTATCAGTGACATTTTTACAGGCAGCTAAAGGAGACGTTTATCTGTATATTCAGGGCACAGTTTAGCAGAGCTGAAGATAAAACCAAGAAATATTTATCTCTTTAAGCCCCACTCTGAACACTGGCTGAGCAGTACACTAGCAAGCTAAAGTACCCCTTCACCATGCTTACCTCACTGTTTATAAACTCTCCATCTTCACGAAAAATTAGACAGTTCTGTCATCAGTAAAAGCTTAATGCAGCTACAAGAAACCTCTGGGATCATTACTAAATTTGGTGCTTCAGAACAAAGAATAGGGTGAGGGCGGTTCCCCTATGGCAGAGCTGCCGTAAAATATTTGCCCCTGATGACCTGCAGCGTATTGTTGTTAAGACTGTGGCACTGCTTAGTCAGATCTGAGTGGGTTTAAAACTAAACTGAAGTGCATGCTTAGCTTTTTGGGACAGTACAGAGGTGTAGTGATGGCAAAGCATATGCATAAAACTGTGAAAATGTTCATTTCATCAGCCTGCATTGAGGTTACTGATGGATAGCTAAGACATAAAGCTGTACTGGTTTTACATTGGTGCAATCTAGGGGACTAAAATCAGGAAGTAGGGATTAAAAAGGAAGGTGCAGCCTGTACTAGCTATTTGCAAAAATTCTTTTTGCATTTAGAAAGGGAAAAAGGTTCTCTCTGCAGTATTGAAAGCTCTGAAAAGCTACACCAAACCAGAAAAGGATGCCAGATGTGAAATGCTGCAGTGACACAATACAGCCACCTCAGAATTTATCACCAGATAGCCTTCGGGGCCATCAGTCCAGAGGGTGATCTGCACCCTCTGCTGACACAGGAGAGCAATGGCAAGGCTGCCCTTTGCACCAGGGAGTGTCGGTTCAGGCTGAGAAAACTCCATCAGGAAAAGGTTCAACTTCTACAGCTTCACCCTCCCCTGGGCTCCGCTCAGAGCTGTGATCAGCACCAGATACAGGTAAATGTGAAAGACCCACCTCTCTGACATTGTTAGAGGTTGTACAAAGCTTTTCAGAGAAGTCACCACAGAAAAGCCTATGAAGTGCTCAGCCACTGGCAAGGGGGAGAAATGGACATGGGGAATAATCCACAGTCTTTCCTCCCTGCTAAATCAGATGCGTTTTTTCCCTTGGCAGTGTAACTGAAAAGCTTTGATCTCTGGATCCAGAACTGGGAAAATGACTGACTTGAAGCATTTTCCCCAGCACCACCCTCATCTATTTCTAGTTAACCTGCTTCAAAAGGCACCAGTCCCACACCTCCAGTGCAGAGCTGTCTGTTGGGACAGAACATCATCACTATTAAATGACTGAATATACCTTCCAGCTTCTGTCGTTTACCACTTCTTCAACATTGAGCTCCGATTGCATCAATTTCAACTGCAGAAAATAACAGATAAAAAGGTTATTGTCAAACACGTTTCCCTGCAGCCTTCAGTATTTACTACTATTGCAACTTTCCAGCTCTCAACCCCAGCACCAGGTGCACACCTCCTCTGATGGTGCAAACCAAAGTCCAAGAGCCTGATCCTTCCAGTCAGCCAGTGCTCAGGGCACACACTGGTCTGCAAGGGCACAGTGAAGGCAGACTCACAAAGCAAGCCTGGCAGAAGATCTTGATTACTCATGCTCTATTCCTAAATAATGCCCATCAAGACTTGCTAGCAATTAACTCATTAACATTGATGGCTTCAGAGGCTCAAATAACTGCACCTAAGTCAAGCACTTAGCACAGGGAATGCCAGGACTGGGGTTAGCTCTGCAGCCTTGAGTTGCCACTCTTGCATTATTAGAGTCATATATGAAGCTGGTGAAGCTGGGAATCCAGCTAGGATCCTGGATTTAAAACTAATGTTAGGAACAGACCCTCTCTGCTTCATTTGCCATCTACTCAGTTCACTGACCAAAAAGGGTCTGCAGTCTGATCACGTGTTGTTCATGCTGTCTGAACCAGTTAATATTTTATGTTACCACTGAAGGAGAAATCAGCTCTACACAGATGCAAAAGCTCTGGCAAGAACTACCACCAATACACAGTTCTTGAGCACTCACTTGACCCGTGAGAAGGGTAAGAATCTCTTTGTTTCACACCTATTAGAAACTTTGAGGTGCAGGTGTGACAGTTATGTTTGGGTAATTTGGTCCTGAAGCAATAGTAGGAGATTTAAGAACCATCTATCATTTATGCCCAAATGTAGGATGCATTCATTAGAGTCTTTAACAACAGACTGAGTCAGAGTTTATCCATTTTCAAAACATGGTTCCAATTAAAGGCCTGGTGAACGGGTGCAAGACAAGACAGCAATCCCACAAAAAACTTTCCAAGTAAGATATCCAGGGACACAGAGTTGCTAACAGTCGTTGGATGCACTTTCCCCAACTCAACAGGACTTCAATCTGTTTGAAATAACAATCCAGCATCCAGAGTGACTGGATGACCAGAATAAGTCTGTATAAAATAAGCACTCAGAGGATCTTTAGCACTTCAAAGAAACTACTGCTCCAAGTTTTCTCATTCAGTGACCCAGAAGTAATAATTTTACATGAAGTCTTCCAAGTTGTACATCTAACAGGATTAGAGAAACACACATAACAAGGGAAAAAGAGATCTGTATTGCAGACAAGTGAATAGATATTTGAAATTCCCACTCTCAAAACTAGGATGTGTTCTGTCAAGATAGCTTCTCTGACTCGTAGAAAAAACAAAACTGTTTTGGAGATCAAAAAAAGAAAAAAAAAGCAGGGGTGATCTCATAAAAAATTCTGAGATATTTCTAAATCATGGATTGCTTTTAACATTTGAAGCCACCTCCAATCATTAAACACTATCATTGTAATCCTCCCAGTGTTTTCAGTGAGAGATTTCGGGCTCAGTAACTAAATGATTTAAAGAATTGGCTCTGTTAACAAAATTCGTAGAAAATACTAAACTACCACTCTAGTTTTCCAAACTAATATCCATGCTTGTTAGCAGTTCAATAAGTGAGGCTTTAAGAATAAAACTGCTCGTCTGCCACATGGTTCTCTCAGTATCCTTTTCCTTACAAAAGGGGCCCTGGAAGTGGGGTGAGAACAGCAGTGGGGTTCCCTTCTCCACTTCTGATCCTCAATCCCCTATGGTCACCTCTGGTAAAGTACACTTTCCACCCACAGGCCAGAAGGTTGAGAGGGCATCGGCACATTAGAATTCCTATGCAAACCCAGAAGATTCTCTCCTGACATCACAAGTTACTCCAAATATTAATCCAAGAAATACCAAACAGCAAAAAGGTTGTGTAAGTGGAATTCAAGGTTGCCTGGAAGCATCTTATAGAGAACAGGAAAAGTTAAGCTGTGACTCAGTGGTGTCAGTCAGTGAAGGTCAGAATCCACCATGGGAAATAATGTGTGTTTTTCTACAGCATTTATGTAAAAGAGTTTCAGGAAATGCTCCACTTGCAGGATAAAAGCAGCTCTCTGCCTTGAGGCCTTGGGAAAAAAATTCTCACAAGACCCAACAAGAGCTAACAAGAACCTTGGAAAGGACTGCTTGACTCAGGATCTACCTCAGGTCCTCTCTATCACACACTGGTCTTTCCGTTTGGGAAAGATACCCACTTCTCCCTCTGTAAGTGATCTCCAGAAGGCTCCACCACTCACCTTTGTCTGCTCTTTCCTGAGTTGCTTTAATAATGCTGCATCTTCAGGGGCCTTTTCCCTCTCTTCTTTGAGAGTTTTCACTACAGCGGAACTCTGAGAGATGCAGTTTTTGATGATTCTTTCTCTATTGGTGTGAGCATCCATCAACTAAGTGGGGAGAGAAAGAAAGTCACAGTAACTGAACAGAGAATAAAAACCTCCTACTTTTAGGTTTAAAGAGACACTTTCTAAAGCCATGCTATTGCTGTGCTTACAGAAATCCCTTTGAATTCATAATACATATGTGGGAAACAATACTGCTTTAAGCAGCAGTTACTCTTAACTCAGATTATCCTGTCGATCTTACTCTTACCGAGTTGATCAAAAGTCAAAGGTAAACATGAGAAGTCTTGCAGAGCGGCAGGAAAAGCAAGCACCAAAGGATCAGTATTGCAGAACAAAAAACTTCCCTGCGTGGTTTTAAAGTGAAGCAGTGTGTGGAGATGTTGAGCAGGACAGTTAGGAATACACAAAGCAGGATCTACCAAGGCAGTCCTTTCCTCAGACACTGAGGATGCTTTACCGACCACTGCACATGACAGAGCATCTGGAAGGGAGCTGAAAGTAGAAGGCGTGCACACTCACAGACTCGTACAGCTCTTTACATGTCTGGCCAGGATCAACTTTCCCCACAAAGGAAGCTGTTGGAATCGTAGTGTTTAGTTCATGAACAATTCTATCATCGATTGTCCTCATCACCCTGAGCAGCTCCTGTGTTAAAAAAGAGAGAGATACTTGGTTATATCTCTCAGAAAAGCCTACTACCAAAAAATTTGCATAATTAAGCGCTATAATAGAAATTAAATAGTATTCCTTACATAGAGTTAGAAACACACCAAAGGAACAATCCCACATGCAGAAGTATGTGCTGCAAACCACGGAGTTTCCTTGTCAGCAAAGTTCAGAGCAGGGTGAGTAACTGATGTTCCCTGAAGTCCCCTGGCCTTGCAAGCAGCATGGACAGGCTGAAGAGCCTGTACCCAAATCCAGTCCATGCTTCCAGACAGGAAACTGGGGGCAAACTTTGAATAAAATTCTCCCACCACTCTGGGGGGTGGGAAGCTGAGCTGCGGGAGGTTTAGGTTGGATCCCAGGAAAAAGTTTTTCACCCAGAGGGTGGTTGGGCACTGGAACAGGCTCCTCAGGGCAGTGGTCACAGCACCAAGCCCGACAGAGTTCAGGATGTCTTTGGACAACACTCTCAAGCACATGGTGTGACCCTTGCGGCGTCCTGCGCAGGGCCAGGAGCTGGACTCGGTGATTCCTGAGGGTCCCTAGCTACTCAGCATATTCTGGGGTTCCGTGTTCGAGAGGCAGGCCGGCTCCCAGGGACCCGCCGGCCTGGGTCCTGCTCGCGCCGCCCAAGTCAGGCTGGCACCTCACGCTCCCCCAAGCGCCGCGGAGGCGCCCACGGAGCTCCCGCCGCCCGCGGGGCTCCCGCGCCGCAAGCGCTGCGTCCCGAGAAAGGCACCTGCAGGGAAGAGGAGGTGCCCGGCCCCGCTCCCGCCGGAGGGATGAAGGAAAGGGAGGGGAAGGCCGGACCCTGCTCCCTCCTCATTGCATCCCGCCGGCTGCGAGGAGCGGGGTGACCTCGCGCACGGGGCGCGCGCTCCCGCGGGGCCGCTGGCCGGGAGGCGGCGGGAGCGCGCGGGACGCGGGCACGGGAGGAGGCGGCGGCAGCGGCGGCGGCGGCGGCGGCGGCGCCCGGCCCGGCCCGTCCCTGCCCGCCCCGCGCGGGTTACCTGGAACTCGGCGAAGTCCTCGCAGCTCGCGGGTCCGCTGGGCGCCGCCATCCTGGATCGGCCGAGGGCGCGGCGGCGCCCAATCCGGCGGGGAGCCGGGATGACGCGCGGGGCGGAGCGGGGCGGGACCCGCCGGAGCGCGGCCCCCGGCGCAGCGGCCCCCGGCCGGGCATCTCCACCGGCAGCGGCCTCGCGGCCCCTTCGCCTCCTCCAGTCGCGGAGAGAGCTCCGGCCGCCCCCAGAGGAGGCGGTGCCGGCTCCGGCGGCCCGAGCGTCCCGCGGCGCGGCTCCTTCCAATCGCGGGCCCGGGGCGGGGCCCAGCGGTGACATTGAGCAGGGCCCAGCAGGCCCGAGGTAGCGCCATGTGGGGCCGCGCCGGTGAGTGGGGGAGGTAGCAGGGAGTGACCAAGCGCCGAGGCCGGTCCGGGGCTCCTGCCGGTTCGCCTCCTTCCCCGGGCCCCCGAGGGACCAGGCCCCGCGCCCGGAGCGAGGCGGCCCCGGCCGGCGCTGCGGCGGGGGCGAAGCCAAGCGTGAGGGACCGTGTCTGATGGACTGGCGTTCAAAACAGTGGCGGGAGTGGGTCTGTGCCTCGGTTTCTCCAAAGAGCTTGAAAAGGGTCCGGTTTCGTTGGGGGTGTCGCCTGTAAATGTAAATTACTGGTTTTTCAGAGCGGGAGTGTATTATACCTCGAAAGTAAAGGCCCTTAGGAGAGACACCTTCGGACAGAATAACGAAGGAAATAAAGAACTAACTTTATATTTTTAAGTGCCCTTTTGCTTTTCTGAGTTAGTTTGATTGGGATTTTGTCCCCAAAACTTTCATTATAATAACTAATGCATTAGAAGTGCCTTCTTTAAAGTATGTGTTCGGATATAAAGTGCCCTGGCCTTTTCTAATGCACTACAAAGTAGTTACCTCTCAGTGCTAATGATTCTGCTTTTTTGACTTTACTCTGTCTATGCTTTTGGGATGTGACAAGATTGATACAATGCTGGTGTGCAGTCCTTGAAATAGCACCATCCAAAGTGTATCTGAAGCATTTGTATAGATGAGTTCTTGGAAACTGTGATGTGTAACGTGTTCTAGAAATTGCTGGTAGGATGTTATCTTGCATTCTTTTTTTTCCCCCTAAATTAATTTAATTGCATTCACATTTTTCTATATAAGATAACTGAGCAAGCTCAAGGCATACCTTATAAACAAGTTTTAATTTCCTTGGTAGGCTGTTACAACTAAATCTGGTACTTCTTGCCTTTGTTTTTACTTATTTCTTTTTTTGCCTCTTGTGTTAAAAAAAAACCCTCGAATGCTTCCATTGAAAAGCTGGTTCCGACTTTCTACTGCTCTGAGTTAAATTTGGCCTCTTTGCTTTCTCTTCCAGATATGGCTGTTAAACTGCTGGGAAGAAATATTCCCTCAGTTCTGAGGATGGCCGAGGGAGTGGACCTAAAGATAAGCAGAAGGTTGTGCATTAAACGTCAGCAAGACCTTCAGTCGAAGAGTAAGAGTCTTTGATAGAGTCATGGAATGTTTCATGCCACAGAATACTTGTATATCTGTGCTGTAATCATGTGAACAGGAATTTGGCTGATCCAGGATCATAGATCCCTGATTTTGTAAGAGTTCTGGTCTCTAGACTGAAAAATGGAGCATTAAGTTTGATAAAGTCTTGTTTTCTAACAAAAAGCCGGGGATCAATATTTCCCCTTGTGAGGGTCACACAGCATTCACTTTGTAGCAGATCACCAGAACCTTATCTAGTGCACACTCCTACATAGAGGCTCCTCGGCTCTGCTCTGGAACTGCCTGTTCAGCTGCACTGTAAACTGTTCATGTTTAGGAATGTTGTGTGAGCTAAAAGACTTTTGCAGTTTTTCAGATTGCAGCCAGCTCCAGCGGTTCCAAAAACTGAACATGCCCTGCAGGAAGCGTCTGAATTGTTCATGTTTAAGGGTGGAGTTGGTGAGGGAAAGCTCAGGCCATGAAACATTTTTTCACTATATATGGGACAATTCTGTGCTCTCTGTATCACAGATTCCTTATGGCCCGCCCATGCAGGAGAAAAGGAGCACACAGATGTGAAGTAGTTGGCATGACTGTGTGTTAAAAACATGAATCAGCTTCACTGGGTAGGACAAAAGGTTTCCTTGAAAGTGTGATGTCTTCAGCAGGGGCCAATAAAGAAGTCCCTTACATTTTTTTGAAGTGGGAATGGTGCCCTAGGCAAGAACCTAAGGAACAGAACAGGAAGAGGGTTTCTTTATACCACTGCCCCAGATGTGGCATCTTGGTGTTTAATAGTCCTCACTGGATTTCTTTTTTTCCTCAGAAATTTGTCCAGTTTCTTGAAGCTGGATGTATTTTAGCATCCACATTCTCTAAGAATGTAGATGCTAAAACTCCCTAGGAATTTCTTCTCTAAGAAGAAATTCCTCAGCTACAGTCATGTGGTTTTTTTGAACCTGATGTGGACTTTTTTATAATCTGATTTTACTTCATTTAGTACTCCTTCCAAACCAAGGCCTCATTAAAACCCACACTCCCAATGTCTTTTACAATGCTCTGCTGGGCTGAAGAGAGCTTCAGTCACTGCTTTTCCAGGCCAAATGGTCTCTGTCTGTGACACAGTTTCTTACATGGTGACCATTCCATACCTGTGGCTGTCCTCGGCAGTGTTCTCTGTGCCCGTTCTATTTCAGCTCCCTCTGAGTACTTCCCATGCTTTTCAAACAGCTGGAGTCACAGTTTTACACAGAGGCACAGTAATGCTGTTGTGTTTGAATTCTTGATCACTGACACTTAGACAGTTTTCCTTTCTGTTACTCGCCAAAACCACTGTGGAACCCCAAGGCTTTGCTTAGGTCTAGGTAATGATTAATAAATGAGGGTAGAGTCTGTCATTTGTGTGTGAACTGGAATTGCTTCCTGTTTATGGACAAGGGAGTTCCCAGGCCAGTTCACTGACTCTGGGTTCTGAAGCCCTGTGGCATTTTGGGCTCAGCCCTCTTGTTTATGTTTTTGAATAACTGTTGGTGTCAGCAAACTGTATCCACCCCACTTCCTAGATAATCCATGAATCCATGAGGGACAACACGGCCATGCAGGATACTGCCTGTTGTTTAAAATAAAAAAGGAAAAAGCTGTCTATCTTTGCACTTTGTTTCTTAGATTTTAATGGTGTGTTATGTATTAAAAGCTTCCCCTGTTACATTATGAATATTTTGTATACAGAGTTTGAAAGACTGAACTGAAAATTATGTGTCCAATCTTTGCCTGTTATCTGTTTATTTATACCTTCAGGTAAGATAAAATCTTACACTGCTTGAAAAAGTTAACATTCCGTGAGGTTATATTGGTTTTTACTGTTATTGTGCAGCATGCTGGCTTTTCTATAGCTGTTTCACTTGATTTCCTTTTTTTTTAAAACCTTATTTAAATGAAATAGAAAAACAGCACCTTAGGAAGCCTAGATGGTAGAGCAGCTTCTGCATATTTAGACCTGCAGATATAGAGGTTTTGGGAAGGGTTTGGCTTTCCTTACATGGCTTCAGTTTAATCCATATTTACAGATTTGTTAATCTTTGATACACTTTTCACTCTCTAACGACCTCTAGCAATCATATTTAGAGTTCTGTATTGTTCATCCTAACTGTTTTTGTTAGAGGTCTGACCATCCAGCTTCTCTGACTGTTGTTTTTGGTGGTGTTTTGTTGTTTTGTCTTTGTGTGTTTTGTTGGGTTTTTTTTAGGTCGATCTGCTTCGGGGGTGCCTGGATACAGGCCTACTGACTGGGAGAAAAAGTTTTTGTTGTGGGCAGGCCATTTCAAAAAGGCAGAGGATATACCAGACACTGTCTCGTAAGTGTTGCTTTTGAAGCTGTAAAAGAGACTTTGTGCAGCAATAAAGTACTTGAATGCAACGGCAAAGTAACTTTTCTTAAAACGAATGGACACCTTGCACAGCTGAAAAATCTTACCCTGCTGTGTTTGGTGTATCATCCGTGTAGATGAAATGACCTAATGACCTCAGCAATTCTCTCGTGCTATGATAATGTATGCCTCTTGATTTTTTTTTTTTTTTTTTTTTTTTGCAAAGGGTTGACCAGCATTTATCAGTTGTTTCATTAGAAAACCATGTCAGATCAATTCGTTTTTACTCTTCTCTCACAATTAGAAAGCTTTTCTCAAACATTAGTGTGAGCTTTTTCTAGTGTTTTTCATTATATGTCAGTCTTTTGCTGTGGGAAATTTTTATATACAGCTATAAAATAACTGAAACCCATATAAAGTATTTATTAATGATTACCTAAAGGTCATGTGCCAATTTCCTTTACTGTTGGAATTTAAACTAACAGTATCAAGGCTCCCTAACTATATATAGTCAAAATTTCCCTGTTGCTGCTGAGTCCAGTGTGAAGTAGAAAATAAAACTGGATGCTCTGGTTTGCACACCAAAAATAAAGATCAAACTTATCAACAATAGACAACTATTAGTTTAAAAAACACTCCTAGTAGTATAGTTATCTTCTAAAACATGCTCGTAATGGTTTTAAATACATGTTTATTTAAATTCAAAAGAAACAGTCAATCTTGCACAACTTGAGTAAGAAAATGATGTAGCTGCCCTCTTAAATATTTTCTGTTTGTTTGGTTGCACTGTGTGGGAATTGAAGATCCACCCCTGTATTTAAATGTATCACAATGAATGAATTTTGTTAAAAGTAGAATCCTTCCATTTTGTATTGAATCATTTTTCTTAAAACTACAGGAGTAAATTATTAAAACTTAATATCACTTCATATATTTTTGCGTACCAAACATTTGTTACAAGTGTTTTTAAGAAAACAGAATTAGCAAAGTGATTGATTTCAGTAGTTTATTGAAAGGACAAACCAACTTCTGATAAAAGCTGACCATTTCTGCAAGTGCATAGGGAAATCTTTTTATTTAGACAAATAATTCAGCCAAATCTGAGAAGACAACTGAGAACTATAAAAGCACAAAAACTTGTTTTCCTGTTCTGAGATTAATTGTGGGTTGTAAGAGCCTGTGATATAATTCAGTAATCTTGTAAAATGTGGTGAAGCAACCTCTTTTATTAAACAAATGTTAAACTTAACCACTGAACTGATATAAATGCAAGTTGTGTTTAGATATCTACCTTTTGCTCTTGTAAATTCTTCACACATCTAAGGTATTTCCAAAATTAACCTAGCAAACTTTTTTAAATCCTACTGTTGTGCATTTCAGCTTAATTGCAGCCTGCACTCAAGGCTTTGACTGCAGATTATTAGCAGAAACAAATAACCTGGATGCTAAAATTAAGCATTAGTTTCATTGTAGATGGATGTGTTTGTTCCCTATGATCAGAAATCTTGTATTCACATCAATACTCTGACAAAAACAAGAACAAAACTTCTCAGCTCTCAGGTCCTGTGTGATTTACCATGCTGAACTATCATGGATCCTTAAGTATCTTTTTTTTTCTTCCAAATGTAAGGGTCAAGATTCCATATTCACTCATGTTTATATATAGTAATAATTTCCCAATTCGATTCAATCCATTTGCCATGTTAGTTTTGCTAATTTGATGTATTTATTCTTTTCATCAAACAATGCTGGTGCTTTTCCAGTCTTCTGGAATTTTGTCATGTGCCAAATATAATCAGTGAGAATACCAGCCCTCCTTGAGAAGGGAGTTATCTGGCCTAAATTCTGCAAGGAGAGTTAAATATATGAGGTGTATGTCTTTGGTTATTGTGGAAAGCACTTCTAAAAAGCATTAATGCTTCATTGGCCCTTCGTGCTTTGTTCTCTCTAACACAGACTTAAAACCTACTGTAACCAGGATGTCATTTGGGTAGAATGATCTTCAGCGTTTAACTCAAAATAAATGACCTTTTGTTTTCACTCTTCACATGTACAGCTGGAAGGTGTTAATAACTGCCACGCTTCTGGTTTTTAAAAGATAACAGCAGAGTAAGCAACAGGTTTGCCAAAAAGGTGGTATAGCTACTGGTGTAGCTGGCTAAGCCCCCTGGAATTAAAAAAAAAAAAAAATTAAATAGTTCCTCTAGTCCAAAGCTGATGTTGGAAAGCTTACGATCCTCGACACCTCCTTAGTTCTCAGGAAAGCAGCTCACTTTAAGACTATTTACTCCAGCAGGAGTGGCAACCACTGGTCTTTAACCAAGTCCTACTCAGAATTTCTGAGCATTGCATTCAGCAGCCTGTGTGTCACTTACTGCCCTTTCAAGTCCTGTAGCAGAGGAAGCACCTTGCTGCATCATAAGACTGCATCGTAAATGAAACCATTTTGAAGTTCAGGCAGAAGAAGTTCCAAAGCTGTGCTGTTTCCCTCTGCCCAAGAAACTCTCAACTGCTTAAACACTGTATTTTGTTTTTTACCAGACTTCTGCTATTGAGAGAAAAAGGCATGTTTTACTATGTTAACAGTAAAACACAATTATAATACGGGTGAATTATGAATCACAATTATAATACAAGTGTGTTCTCCTTAACTTAGCAAATATTGGAAGATGGTAGTAAGCACAGAGAGAGCTGACAGTAAGAAAAATATTGTATTGGTTAAAGTATTCCTCTCTTTTTCCTGTTCTTTCTGGAATGAACATACACACTTAAATCCTGCAGCCTTCCTTCTTAGCACTGCAGTCGAGTGGTCTGCAAAAGCAGCATTTTAACAATTGAGTAACCAAAGTTTTAAAAGTTGGGTTTGTTTCCAGCTTTGAGAGGAATGCCTCTGTTACCAAGTATCTCCCAAGGTACTTAGGGATCAGCCTTTCCTGTTCTTGTAAAACTTTGTGCAAAGAGCCAAGTGCTGTTAGCATTACACAAAGCTACCAAGACAGCACACTAAGAGAAATTAAATAATTAGCCAAGTGAATTATTTGGGTCTCTGATAATGAGTCTTTTATTCTTTCTTGAGGCTTGAAACAGTGAGAGCAGCTAAGAGCACCCTGCGTGTGAAGTTCAGCTATTTCATGATTGCTTTGACAGTAGTGGGATGCATCATCATGGTGGTTAGGGGGAAGCAGGTAAGCACAGATGAGGGCAAATAAATCTTCATTGAAACTTCTTAGTTCCTGTATGGATTTTTAGCACTGTCTTGCTTTGAGGGTTTGGGATTTTGTTTTGGGGTTTTTTGTCATCACTGAACAAAATTTAAACAAGTCCTCCTGGTTCCCTAAAGTTTCCCTCATTGACTAATTCCCATCTGAAAAGGATGATGTCATTGTTAAGACGCTTCCTTTAAGAAAACCCAGACGAAAACCTCTGACCTTAAAGCATCTGTGTGGCAGAAGAAACTTATTTTTTATGCTTTCTTCTGATGACAATGTTCAGGTCTGGTTTCTATGAACTACTGTGTTCTAGAGAAACCTTAAAAGTAGTGACAGTCTTAACCCCAGCACTGTGAGCTACTGAGTGTCACCTGACATTTCTGTCAGGATTTGTCTATTAAAATGAAAAGGACGGAGCACTCTGAAACAGTGGAAGGATTTTTCCTGGCTTTAACAGCAGAGATCAAACATTGATGATTCCCAGAGCATTCTCCTCTGTACTGGACTAGTATGAGTGCAAATACCAGGAAGAGAGGACAACTACTTTGGAATCGTTGTTTTCAAAGCAGCTGGAATTATTTATGTTTTCTGAGATTAGCTCAGTTGGCCAGAGAATGGTGCTAATAATGCCAAGGTTGCAAGTTTGATCCCCCAGTGGGCCATTCACTGAAGAGCTGGAATTGATGATCCATGTAGTCCCTACCATCTCAAAATATTCTGAGTCTGTGATACTAACTTTTGATTTCTTTCTAGTATCTGTCTCGTGAAAATCAGATTAGTACTAAATGGTGACCAGAAGCACAGAATGTATCTGCTAGGTACTTGAGAAAAGGGTTTAATTTATTCCCAGAGAAGTAATTACTTTCAGCCAAAATAGTCTCTATTTTATTTTAACCCTCTTGGCTTCTTGTCATTGAAGCTGACAGAAGTGTGCCTTGGTAATGATAGGTCAGGTATTTTTGTGGTCCTTCAAGTGATAACTGATGATCTTATTACATTGTAGGCTATGAAAAGACATGAATCTCTTCTGAGCATAAACTTGGAGAAGAAAGCCCAGTGGAGAGCAGAAGGTACATCTGCTAAACCGTAGAGGAGGAAATGAAGTGATCAAGGACTGGGATAGAAAAGCAAAAGTCCCTTTCAGCACTGAGAGCTGGATATCATCACATCTTTCCTGTATGTTAGTTCTGTACACTCACGTTCAAGAAAAAATAAATAAGTTGTCTCATAATTAATAAAACCAGAAATACCTATTTTTTTTTCCTAATAACAGCCCCTTTCTTCCAAACTCTTTTCTTCATGGTTAGAGAGAGAGGACACACGAGCACAGTGGATAAGCAATGTAATTGTTTCCCACATGCTGTGCACCAGACTAAGCATCTTTTAAAGTACTGCAGGACCTGTACCTGCATTCTTGGTACCAATCCTCTGCATGAAGTCGCATGCTCTTACTTACCACTTACAGGAAGGTAACTGTAACACAAAAGAATGGTCCGTTTGGTTTCCACTTGCACATATATGCTTCTACAAACAAAATACCTTCACTAGCCAGTCATCCACTATCACTGACTTTTTCAGGTTTCCTCAGCAAGAATAGAGGAACTGTATTTATTCTGTATTGGTACTGGCTACTTTAGATAATCCACGTGCTCCTCTTTGTGCAAGACAGAACAATTATTAAGGGAGCCCTTGAGCTAAAAGTTACTGCCTGACCTGCATTAACATCAGCAAAATGAAAGGTATTAGAAAGCCTAGGTCCTGTTATTCTGTCTGCATTTGTTTAAGTGAGGGGTAACTTCTTGTGAAGAACTGCTTGCCTTCAAGGAACGAGTGAAATAGCCTTCCAGAGAACCATGGTGTTGCAGCTGACACCTAAGAGTGGTCCCAGCAGAGCTGGCAGTGAGATGAGAAAACATCCAAGATGAGGGAACAGAGATGACTATTTTGAGGAATACTGAGCAACAGCTTCAACCTGTACTCTAAGATTTACTATTTAGAGGCACGTGAGTATGAGAAAGTCAATCAGGTATTCCTGTTCTCTGCTACTATGAATTTTCTTTCTTTATGAATCTCCTTTAGATTTATACGTATTTTGCTCTTTTAAACTGTTGTCTGTACTTTCATCATCCTAGACCCACCTAGAGATCACCTGCCTCAAGAGTACTATTTCTGGCATTGGGCCCAGTCACACACTATTCACGCTGAACAGCCCGCAGCAACCAGGGAAAATATTTTCCTTCCTCCTTTCAGTTCATTTGGAAGGAAATGTAGATTGGAAGTGTCAGGACTGTTCAAAACTATGTTAACTGACCAGCACCACCCTGCTGACTGGCCCTGGGGACTCCCAAACCACGAGACATACCAGCTTAACAAAATTAGTTTGTGAACTTTCTCAGAGAGAGAAGGAGATTATTTTTATTGTACCCCTAAAAATTAGCAGTATTGCTGAATAATCAAAAGCCTTACAAAAATGCAGGGTAAATCTTCACTAGGTGCTGCAGTTCATCTCTGAATTCCATTTCTGCGTACCACAGTGAGATGTAACCCATCAGACAAGCTGTGTCATCAGTTCCACCACAGAACTCACAACCTTCAGGTGATACAATGACCTGTCATCAGATTCTCTGGATGAAAATTATCATAAGTACACTGTCAAGCAAGCAGAGCAGGATTGCAGGGATGTGTCCACTTAATTAGCACTGAATGCAAGCCATATTTAATTTTACTGCAGGTATGTGAACAGATTTTCCATGACAATTCTGGTTCTTTGCCACACTAGTAGGGATACAAGTGGGAACCAAAACAAAATCTTGCCCAAATACATGCCTGTGGTCATGTATGTACTAAATGACACCAAAAAAAAGAACGTGCATTTTAGACAGCGTTTCAGGTTTCTGTGAAGAAAAACTTGTAATTTATGCTTGGTGATGGCTAAGCTTAAAATTGTGCATCTCGAAAATATCACCCTTTCAATACACACCTCTGAGTGCACTCTGTGAACAGAACGGGCAGGTACCTCTCCTAGTTTCGGAAATAAAACTATTTGGACTCATCCAGCTGCTGAAGTACTTCAAAGAAAAATATGCAAAACACCACTTCAAAAGCAACAGTTCAGAGCAGCAACAGTCACCAGTTTTTCATTTTAAATTTCTATAAGCTTTATACTATTTACTCAAAAACTGAAGTCTGGCCCAGTGGTTTGACAAAAGCTCCACATATCCTTCTGTCAGCCTGGTATCTCCACCATTTCAGAATCTGCCATAAAGACTCTGCATCACTGCCCGACTTTGTGTTTTCTTTCAACTTCCGCATAGACTCAAGTCTCAAACCAAAGCCCAAGACAACAGGCTTTGGGTGGTCTCCAGCTTGCTCCCAACCACTGTACTGTTTTCTTTCCAAGTAGCTGGGTACTATAAAATTACGTAAATCTTTCTCAGTGAGGCAGTGAAAGGAACCACCTCTTTCCTGGTGTCATGACCTCCAAGAAGCACTTCTGAACACGGACAGTGGTTACAAAACCAGCACACATTTCTGGCCAAAGCAGCCAGTCCAACTTAACACCCCTCAGACCACTGAGAGCTCATAGCTTCAGCCCAAAGCCTTTCAACAGTGCACGATGGAAGGAATATACTAAACCTTAAAAGGTACCTCATTTTCTTTCTCCCCTTTGGCTTGGTCTGTAACACCATTCCCATTTATCTAGAACAATCCAATTTATCAATCCTATACCATGTGCCTTATTGCTGTACCTGGTCCAGAGGCAACTGAAACTTCCTAATGCAGCAATCACCTGACAAGTCCAACACTGCCTCAGTGGAACAGGAGCAGGAGCCATAGCAGTACACAAAAAGGTCTTGCTCACTTTTGTACTAAGACCCAGGCACCTGAAGAAAGACCTTCCAAGTCTAAAACTGGCATAGGAGAGTACCGATAGTGTGTTGTGCCAACTTCCAGAAGCAAAAAAAAAAAAAAAATCATACTGGAAGAGATGGGGATTTACTTTAAGCTGGCATAGAGAGCAAGTGCACAGAGGTAAGACAGCTGGTCTGGAAGTTTCTAGAGAAGCAGAGAAGTGTATTGCCAGGAGCACTGTCACATGTAGGACCATGGAGTTCTTCAATAGTCTTGGATGCTAACAATAAAAAAAAAAAAAAAAGCAGGACCAAGAACACATAGGTCCAGGGTCATTGCCTTCCTCCCTTCTTTTAACATTAGGCAAAGGGTCTTCAGCCACCTGTATTTGGTTGGCATCAAGGAACAAACACAGGAATTTAGGAACAGGCTGAAGTCTCTAGGCAGCAGTTCCCTCAAATGATTGTGATACCTTCCCAGGACCCCCAAGTGCTGGCCCTGGCCTAGTTACTGAGTTTTCAATAACCTGCTCCATCATCCCTTGTATCCTGAATCCAAGACACTGACCTTGTCTGCCATATCCCACTGGGAACTTTAGCAACAGAAAGAATTACGGCTCCTGTTTGCTGCCCAAACAAAACCACAACTTTATTGGCACTACAGATCTGTGTGCTGGACTGCTAGATTGCAATTCCAAGCAGTCCTGCATCTTCCTTTCTCAAACACCTAGTTTAAAACAGACATTGTTAAAATCTCAGTGCAGTGCTTCCACCTCATTTCTGATGTTTCTAAAAGAATTCAGTAAATTCTCATTACCAGCCTGTGGGGCTTTTGGAAGATGCTTAGATCATATCTCTACAAGCCAAAAGAAACCAATGCGTGTATTTTAACTTTGAAAAAAGTATGAGACACTTTTCTAGCATTTCATGCTGCCTGACAGAGCTAAGAGAAGAACTCAAGAATTCCAACACCTCCCTAGCCCTACCCTCTACATGAGACGGTGCTGCCTCTTATTTAGGCACAAACCAACAACAGATCATTCAAAACACAGCGTGACCTTCACGAAAGTGGCAGCTAGAAGCGTTCTCTGAGATGGTCTCTGTCTGAGGACATCCTTCAGGAGAGCAGAGAATACCGGTTTCAGTGCTTCTAGCAAGGGACACAGCCACACAGAACTGTGTTAGGAAGCAGTGTTCAAGCAATATGCTGTAACGATCCTGATACTTTCACTGGCACTTCTCCTCCAAAACAGAGTCCTTCATTTGTGGCCTGAATGTTATTTATTAGATGGGTAACATTTCACTACATGTTTGGCTCCGTTAAAATTCAAGTAGTTTACTTGCCCTTACCAAGTAATTCTGATCAGTCTGTATCAGTGAGCTTTTCCTTTTATAATTCACAAGTCTCATCTCCCTTCTGTACTCACTTAATTTGCAGCCTTTTGTTAGAAGTAGATTTTGGTTTTTTTCAACCTATTAATAAGGCTAAGTAAAGCAACACTGAGAACTGGTTGCTGGAAGATCCTGATGGAAATACACTCAATTAAGCACCATTTAAAATTACATTGAGACCTATGAGTTAGCCACATTTTAATCCATTTAATGTGTGCCATGTTGATTCTTGTATTGGTGTGGTTTTCACTCAAAATATTATGCGGTACCAGTTAAATGCCTTACACAGTCTAAGTATTTAGGACAACAATATTACCTGCGTCAACCAGGCCTGTCACTTCAAACAAACATACCAAGTTTAAAGATTTATACTTATCTGCTCTGAATTCACATATCCACGGCAAAAGTAACAAATACTGGCCAGGCTCCTTACACAGGAAGGCACACCAGTCAGCTTAAATGGACTCTTTTTTAATTCACTCATTTAGAGGCAATTGTCATTACTTTCTTGGGGGGCAGGGGAGGGAAACGCCAATGCACCACATTGTTTTCACTAGCCTGGAAGAGAAAACACTTATATATATAGATATATAGGTATGTATATATACACACACTTTATGTATGTGTGTATATATATGTGTGTGTGTATATATGTATATATACACGCTAGTGTATATATACACAGAATATACATATATGAATATACAGAATATATACACACACACTTTGCTCAGATTTGTTTACAAAATATGTAGCATTTTTATACCATCCAATAAGAGGTACATGGTTTTAAACAAATCTTATAGAAATGACATGTTATTGGAAATTTACACGTAAAAAAATCCAGCACAAAAAAATCCAAAAGCTAAAACAAGATTTGCTACTAATCAGTGCTTCTATCACCCTTCAAGAAAAGAGAAACACAGTTATTTATATGTGATGTAAAGGCAACATTGAGGGGTTTTTTTGCTTTTTTTTAAATTAACCACCAAATTTA